CCCCCTCCTACCCCCCCAATGGCTCAAGGAGCGATGTTATCTACACCCCAATAGTATTAAAAATTCTGTGAAAAGGAAATGTGTTCAAACTGTTTAACACTTTCGTCCGGTAACGACGCAGTATTGCGTCATATTTTTACTGTCGGTAATCTCGGTAACGACGCAATGCTGCGTCGTTTACTAAAATAATTGCCAAAAATTAGGTTTTTGTCCGATTTTTTGGGGACTGGTGTTCAATATATAATATATTGAACATATAATATAATATAATAATATTCAATATATAATATATTGAATATATATTTGTTTAATATATATAATATATTGAACAAATGTTCAACCCATGTCATGTTCAACACACAACACTGAAGTGGTAAGTACAAAAAGTTGTATTATTTTGTATATTTTTTTTTTTTGTTCATACTTTCGCATATTGTACTGGCAATATTGTTCTTCAATTGGCCCTTATATGCACATATCCATCTAAAGCATTCTATTAGGAACAATTTCATACCTAAATGAGCGCTGTAACACGAAAATTGAGATTAGCAACAGGTAAAAATACTAAACATTTGTGGGCAGGAATTGGGAGTGTAGCTGGAAGGCGTCTGGGCGCTCACTCGCGGCTAACACGTGGCCCGTCTTCAACTCGTCAGCGGGTGGAGCGTGACCAGGTTTTTTATTTTATTTGCTAATATTCCTCTAGAGAATTCTATTGCAAACCCATTGATACCAAAATTAAAGACCTAGGACGAAAATTGAGGTGACCAGAGTGAAAAGAGTGAACACATTTTATCGCTTTTGCGCACTCCTGGGTAACTTGTTCGCACTTTCTCTGTTTGCTGCGAGTAATTAGCCAGGCTTTTGGAGTTTATATGCATTTAGTGCTGTAGAGAATTCTATTGTGAACACAATGATACCAAATTTAATCTTGTAGGACGAGAATTGAGGTGACAAAGTTGAAGAGAGTATACACTTTTCAGAATTAACGCGCGCTCCCGTGAAATGCTGGGACCCACTACGCATAGCGTGGTGCGCGAAAGTGTTAAAACACAATTTTCACCATTATTATTGCTCCAATATGACATTTTTCTGATAAAAAGGCTATTTTCAGTGTAGATAATGCGATAATTATCATTAAATTGACTCGTGGTATCTGTCGACAAGAGGAGAGTGAGGTAGTGGCTGATCTCTGGTGGTCTAGTGCAGGAAGAGGAGGGGGGGGCCGAGGGGGAGCATGGAGGCGCCAGTCACATGTTGCCTCTACAGCCTCTACTGACACCACTATTACTCCAGCTTCTCTTGACAACTTCTACCACTGACAACCAGCCTCTACTGACACCACTATAACTCCAGCTTCCCTTGACAACTTCTACCACTGACAACCAGGCTCTACTGACACCACTATTACTCTGGCTTCCCTTGACAACTTCTACCACTGACAACCAGCCTCTATTGACACCACTATTACTCCAGCTTCCCTTGACAACTTCTACCACTGACAACCAGCCTCTACTGACACCACTATTACTCCAGCTTCCCTTGACAACTTCTACCACTGACAACCAGCCTCTACTGACACCACTATTACTCCAGCTTCCCTTGACAACTTCTACCACTGACAACCAGGCTCTACTGACACCACTATTACTCTGGCTTCCCTTGACAACTTCTACCACTGACAACCAGCCTCTATTGACACCACTATTACTCCAGCTTCCCTTGACAACTTCTACCACTGACAACCAGCCTCTACTGACACCACTATTACTCCAGCTTCCCTTGACAACTTCTACCACTGACAACCAGCCTCTACTGACACCACTATTACTCCAGCTTCCCTTGACAATTTCTACCACTGATATCCTGCCTCTACTGACACCACTATTACTCCAGCTTCCCTTGACAATTTCTACCACTGACAACCAGCCTCTACTGACACCACTATTACTCCAGCTTCCCTTGACAACTTCTACCACTGACAACCAGCCTCTACTGACACCACTATTACTCCAGCTTCCCTTGACAACTTCTACCACTGACAATCTGCCACTATTGACACCACTTGCCTCCTGACAACAACTCTCACCAATGCCCCCTGACATCATTTTATCACCATTTCAGCTGGTTGTCAGCTGCCTGGCTGACAACCTGCCTCCCATGAGAATACGCAATTTACACCACCTGCCCCCTAACAAAAAACCCTAACTACTGACACCACTTGCCTCCTCACAACAACTCTCTCATCAATGCCCCCCCTGACACCATTTTTATCACCATTTCTCTCTAGAAACAATGGGTAAAGACAATAAAACACTATATAACTGTTTACACTCTGGCAAATCATAGTTGATGACAGCCAGCTCTGACACTCGGCCTCGGTGACCGCTTGTACGAACATTCCTCACTTAATCGAACATTTGGTACCGAATTCAATTTGTTCGGCTCGTCCGGGAATTCGATAGAGCGGGATTCGTTAGACTGAGGAAGCACTGTATAGGCCATTGGTCCTCGTGCCACTCTGATGGGGCCAGGTTCTGGCTTGTGGTCCCTGGTAGGCAAGAACTCCATGCACATTGACTGATGCCAGAAAGCTAATACAGTGGTACCTCGCATAACGATCGCCCCAAAAGACGAACATTTTGGGTAACGAACGGCCCGATCGGCGTCAAATCGTCCCGTATGACGAACGCTGGTTTGAGTAACGTCAACACCACACGGTGGGGTCGCGCTGCTTCTTGCACATTCTTAGACGCCTCCGACGATGCACATAAATTATGTTGTTCTTGTTTAAAGATGCTAATGATGCTGGGATATAAAAGGGTGACTGCTGACATGTTGCAAAGCATTGACGTTTTTGTAGGAAAAAAGAAATGAAATGTCTGATATACAACAAATGTCAAAAAGGTTCGTTCGGTGTTCGGCAGGTAGGCTGCTCCATTATAACAATCTTTCTTTGTTTCAAATGTGTTCCATTTGTTTTGTATTTGTCATTTACGTCTCAATAATGGAGAAGCCTATCTTACATACACTGAATAAACCATTTTGACATTTTCCTTTCTTCAAATGTGTTCAATATTTATTTTTCATTTGTCTTGTAGCAAAAGGTTCGTTCGGTGGTCGGCAGGTAGGCTGCTCCATGTTTCTTACATACAAAAAAACGTAAATAATAAAAAAAATGAATTTTGAAAACCAGTACAAATGTCAAAAAGGTTCGTTCGGTGGTCTACAGGTCGGCTCCTCCATGTTTCTTAAATAAAAAAAAAAAAAAATGAAAAGAACTGTTGAAACAATTTGAAAAATGGACAAATGCCATAAAGGTTCGTTCAGTGTTTGTCGGGTAGGCTGCTCCATTATTGAGACATAAGTGACAAATACAAAACAAATGGAACACATTTGAAACAAAGAAAGATTGTCATAATGGAGCAGCCTACCCAACAAACACTGAACGAACCTTTTGCTATAACGAATATGAAAGACAAGGGCTGCTGGCTGGGTTAGTACTGCGTGAGCAACCATTTGTGGCACACGCGCCTCTGGCTCTCAAACACCTGTCCCACACGGTGTTGAAAGACTGCGCTCAGTCGGTGCAATTCAGACCCTATTGTTTGAAGAACATAAGGGTCATAACATTGGTGAAGCTAGGCGCAATAAGGGCTTAACACAACGGTCGGATGCCAGTGATACAGCACCTATAAGGATGATACAGCGAGCGTATCCAGTTGTAGCTCTGAGCCCCACCCTTGCCATCTCGAATTTATATAGATGATACATAGATGAATCGTTTTCTGCGTTCAGCAATGATGCATCTGATACAAGTAGCATAGATGAACAGTGTTAGCGGCTTCCATGGTGGTGTTGTTCATTGATATTTTCAAGAATACCTGAATCTCTTCCTGACTGATGGACACTCTTTGAGGCTAGCTGAATCTCTTCCTGTGTGGGACCTTACAAAGCGATTTTTTCAAGACTACCTTACAAATTGAGCTTTTCCTATAATCGTTTCAATACTACCTTATGCTTTACAAGCTTGGCTACATACCACCTGCAAGTACTAAAGCCAAGGGTGCACGCGAGTGCGTTATTTGCAAGCACACAGAACGATGAAACAGGAAACGAAAATCTATCTGTAGCTGGTGCAAGGAGAGCAAAGTCGCGCTGTGTACCATGGACTACTTCGTTGATTATTACGCACCTCCAAAGTACTGAGTGTGTAATACAGTGTGTTACTGTGTAAATAGTATGTGTAAATAGTATGTGAAACTGTACATATTGTAATTTTCGTGAATTTTTACCACGTAATATTGTGACAATAAACATTTATTGTGGACACATTACTGACACATGTATCACAGTTTCATGGAAAATTATGAACATTCTGCTGGATACATATTGTAAAGGTCAGAAATATGCATCATATACGATAAAAGAAAAAAAGAAAACCGCATTGGAAATGCATAGAAAAAATATTTGAAAATATATTTGTGGCAACACGCGGGGCTTGAATGGCCTGTGCGACCGTGTCTGGGAGCTTCACACACGGGCAACCAGGCGCTGATGACGTCACAGCGCACCTTGTCCACGCCCTCACAGCCAAAGTAAGTGGAATTTGGTAATTATTTTTACATAGACATGTTCAGGGAAGGTAATTTATCATTTTGCAAAGAAAAATGATATTTTGAGGAACATTTGATGTCATGCACACTGGGGGAATTTCACAATAAACACAGTGCATCACACTGGTTACATGGGGAACACTCATTTTGTATGACGTCCGTTTCACATGACGAACATGGAACGGATTAAATTCGTTATGTGAGGTACCACTGTATATCCATATCAGCCTGGATAGCTCTGGGGAGCTTCCGGGACCCACCCAGAAAATGGCGTTTCATTACATTCAATGCTGTTTTTTTTATTGTGCTACAAAAGACTGCTGCATCAGCCTTTAGAAAAGTTATGTAAAACAATGCTTGATACTATGTATTTCTGTCCATCAGAATGTGCCAGACTTGAAGTGTACGAGTCGGTAGTTATGCTGCTACAGGATGACTGTGATGTAGTACGGGACACTGTTGCAGAAGGTGTACAGCCTCTCTTAACACAATGTTTTAACCATCAACAGTGTGTCCTGCAGTCTACAAGAATCTTGCCAAAAATTTTTGAAGTAATTGGTAAGTTTAAAAGCTTGAAAGAACGATGAAATTGAATTATTTTGGACATTCTGAGCACTTAATCTTTAATCTCATACAAGTCATTATGGTTAAAGGAATGTGGATACAAGTATGGTAGTTATCCAGTTAAATAAATACTGTATAGAATTGTATTAAATAGTTGTTGTTCATTCATTACAGGGAGTATTGGAACACCTGAGGCCTTAACTCTGCTGCTGAAACTGGCATTGAAAGAAGACTTACCACAAACCTTTGGATTAACACAGGTACAGTATAAAGAAACCAGAATATATATATATATATATATATATATATATATATATATATATATATATATATATATATATATATATATATATATATATATATATATATATATATATATACATACATACATACATACATACATACATACATACATACATACATACACAGTGGTACCTCGGAATGCGATTGTCCCTGTATGCGAGGTTTTCGGAAGGCGAGCAGTATTTACTCCAAAAATTTGTCTCAGAAGGCGAGGGTTACTTCGGGACGCGAGTTTGTTGATACGCGTACAGGCCGACCTAGCGCGTGGTGGTTCGGTGATCGTCGCCCCTCCGCCCCGCCGCCCCTCAGTTTACCATTGTCTCGCGCTCAGTGACTACCCCCACATCAATTCTTCTCGCGGATTTTCAGTGTTTTGTTGGATTTTTGGTGATTTGTCTATACAATTTGTTATTATATATCTCACCATGGGTCCCAAGAAAGCCAGTGGTAAGGATAAAGGCCAGAAAGCTCATGTGAGGATGACAATAGAGGAGAAACAAGAGATCATTCGGAAGCATGAGAACGGTACACGTGTTGTTGAACTTTGTAGGCAGTACAACAAAGCCACATCAACAATATGCACTATACTTAAGAAGAAAAATAAGATTATGGGTGCTAAAGTGGCAAAAAGAGTAAGAACATTAACGGCACAAAGACCACAAATACTTGAAGAAGTGGAAAAGTTGTTATTAATTTGGATACACGACAAGGAGTTGAGGGGTGATAGTGTTTCGGAGGCCATTATTTGTGAGAAAGCCAGGGTGTTGCACGAAGACCTTCTAAAGAATACCCCTGCAACGAGTGATGCAGATAAGAAAGAGTTTAAGGCAAGCAGGGGCTGGTTTGAAAAATTTAGAAAGAGAAGTGGTATCCATAGTGTTACAAGGCATGGGGTTATGTGATATGATTATGGAAGGGGACTCCCCTTCCAAACAGTAACTCCTCTCCTCCTCCCCCCTCCTCACCATCTTCCATACGCCTACAGCACTCGACAGCAAGGTAAGTAATAACTGGAACACAGTTTTGTAGGTTTATTTAGATGAATTAGGTAAATTAGGTATAAAAATTTAGTTTGATGTGGGGTTTTTGGGGTAGTCAGGAATGGATTAATTCATTTCCCTTTATTTCTTATGGGGAAATTAACTTCGGAATGCGAGTTTTCGGAAGGCGAGGCGTCTCCAGGAACGGATTAAACTCTTATTCTGAGGTATGCCTGTATATATATCTGAAAACTCACACCCCAGAAGTGACTCGAACCCATACTCCCAGGAGCAACGCAACTGGTATGTACAGGGACGCCTTAATCCGCTTGACCATCACGACCGGACATAAGGAAGTGATAGCCGAGGCTATTTGAACCACTTCCCCGCCGGCACTCGGATGGTAATCTTGGGCATAGCATTTTATCAAATCACCTCATTCTTTGGGGCACACGTGAGGAACACAAATGCAAACAAGCCTGAATGGTCCCCAGGACTATACAACTGAAAACTCACACCCCAGAAGTGACTCGAACCCATACTCCCAGGAGCAACGCAACTGGTATGTACAGGGACGCCTTAATCCGCTTGACCATCACGACTGGACATAAGGAAGTGATAGCCGAGGCTATTTGAACCACTTCCCCGCCGGCACTCGGATGGTAATCTTGGGCATAGCATTTTATCAAATCACCTCATTCTTTGGGGCACACGTGAGGAACACAAATGCAAACAAGCCTGAATGGTCCCCAGGACTATATACAACTGAAAACTCACACCCCAGAAGTGACTCTTGAATGAGGTGATTTGATAAAATGCAGGTTCCCTCCTTGTCGGCAGACTTGTGGTTGCGGACTTGGGCGCACGGGGGCTTGTTGGCTTCGATCCTGCACTTTTTTTCCCTCCTTGAGCTGTCTTCGGATTGGCTTACGGAGGACGTAGAGGCGCTTGGGGCTGTTCCTGGGTCTAGCGCCTTGACCTCGGCTGCTCATACGTTGTCTGCCCTTTTGAAGCTGTTTGTACCGATCCTGCGGTTTTTCGCTGTGTGCCTCGCGTGTCAGCAGGTGGTGCTTGCTTCCTCCTTCGAATTCGCTTGGGCCCTGGCTCTTAGATTGTCTTCGCCCTTTTGTCCTTTGCTTTTTGCTGCTTCTGCGGTTGAACAGTATATGCAGGCGACTTTTTTCAGCTGCTGCTCGATGTCTGACCTTTTGGGTGTCCGGGGGTCCAGGGTGGGGTCCTCCAGGAAGGTTGTGCCAGGGCCCGCAGTTCCGCCCGTCGAGGTGCCAGTGCCAGTTTCGGTGCCAGTTTCGGAGACTGCACCACAGGTGCCAGTTTCGGAGCCAGTGCAGTCTTCGGTCCTGGCTGCGTCTGGTCAGTGCGATGCTCGCTCTGTGCGCAGGTCAGGTTCTCGTAAGTGGTATCAGCCCTTTCGCGGTTCGCCCCATTGACAGTATGGGGGTAAGGCTTGCTGTTTGCTCACGCCTAGTCCCATGATTCATGGGCTTTTCGGATTGTTTCTCACCGCCTTCGGTGGTGTTGGGTGGCCCCTTCTCCTTCGGGGGATTTAGGGCAGGCCTCTTCTCCTGTGCTCTGTCAAGTCATCATGGCGTGGGTACGCTTGCACGTGGTCGAAACGAAGATGTCCCTCAGGTGGATTCCCGCCTGTTTCCAGTTTCAAAACAGTACTGTGTGGACCTGCAGTTCATTCTGGACTTGTCCCAATCTGAACCCCTGGGTTTTTTGCCCCTGCTTTCAGATGACCACTCTGTCCCAGGTCCGGCTTATTTTTGAGCCGGGCTTTTGGATGGTGTTCCTGGACCTCAAGGACGCGTATTGGCACATCTCTATTCATCTGAGGTTTAGGAACTGGCTCGGTTTTATTGTGGGGTGTCAGAGTTACCGCTTTTGTTGTCTCCCGTTCGGGTTGAACCTTGCACCTCGCGTGTTTACACGTCTTACCCGGGTCGTTGTGGCCCGTCTGCGTCTGCTAGGTGTTCGAGTGTCCAACTTCCTGGTGGACAGCCTGTCCCGGTTCGTTCCCCTGCCCACGGATCGGACGGTCGACACCGACTCATTCAGTTGGCTCTGCCAGATGTTCGGGCGCCCGGAGGTGGACCTCTTTGCGTCGGTGTGGTCGAGGTGTCTTCCGGTATGTGTGGCGCCCTTCCCCAACCGCGAGGCTGACGGGATCGATGCGTTTTGGCAGGACTGGTCGAGGTGGGGGTTCCTGTACTTCTTTCCTCCGGTTCAGATGTTGCTCCAGGTCCTGGCTCGCTTGGAGACTTACCAGGGGCGAGTTGTCCTCTTGGCCCCATGGTGGCCAGCCCAGCCGTGGTTTCAGGTGCTGCTTGCCCGGTGTCGGAACCTGGAGGTTTTTCCGCAGCTCCGCCTCTTTCAGAAGATCGGCCTGGTCCGTTTCGAGACTGGTTCGCTCTTCTCCTCGAGTCTTTGCGTTTGGTATTTTTGACTCGCGTTTATCACCCAGTTGTATGGTGATCAGGTGGCTTCGTCATACTTGGATGCAGTATGAAGTTTCCTATCTCTGCCTTATCTCTGTTAACCCTGGATGGTAAACTCTCTTGTTGGGTTTTCCCAGGATGCCCACATAACCAGGAATACTTATAGAATATGGAGGCCACCGTATGACCAAGGGTAAATTAGATACAGAGGAATTAAGCATACTTGCCATAGGGTCAGTGAGTACACAGTGGAGGTGCCAAGCATGAGAGGGGGAGAGGTGCCCGTGAGGTGATGTTACTCTTCTACCGATCATGTAATGATCAATACTGTCTCCACTCGATTATCCGGACTACATGGGAAGAATCCCCAGCCGGATAATCACGTGTTCCGGATAATGGTACTTTTTCACCTCCGAGTCCAAAAGTAACCATTTTCAACTATTTTTATACTGCAAACAACATAATTTGAATTGTCTTGCCACATATAATTATTAAATATTCAACTAGAAACCTCAACTTATCTTGTTGTTGTTATTCGTCTTGATTGATGCCACACATCTTGAAGTTAAGAATTCTTGACAATTTACGTAACTTATACTAACACAACACTAAAATTAACACTTAAAATTACTGTACAGTTCATTAAGCAAAGGTACAGTAGTTTTGACTGCCAGCTGCTGAAGCGTCACTGGTTGAAGGCATGTGGCTTGCCTGTAGCGCCTCACTGGTTGAAGGCACTTGGCTTGCCTGTGATGCCTCACTGGTTGAAGGCGCTTGGCTTGACTTTCGTACCATATAAGAATCAAGTGTAGCTTGCCTTCTGTGTTCATTGGCCAGTTGTATGATCAGCTCTTTGGTTCGCCTCAGGTACTGATACATGTTTCCAACTTCTGGATGAGCACAATTGGATGAAAAAGTATATAATCCGTCAACATAGGTCATGAGTACACTGTATTTCGTGGTCATTGGTGTTGGTTCTTCACTGTCTTGAACAAATCCACAAGGGCCATGATGAGGATTCAAACCTGCGTCCGAGAGCATCCCAGACGCTGCCTTAATCGACTGAGCTATGACATGGTAAAAGGAGGTGAAACTGAAGTTCTAGGGAACTTACTGGATCCTGCAGCCTCTCCGAGGCACAAACCCTCGTTCGAATCCTCGTCACGGCCCTTGTGGATTTGTTCATTTGATGAATCACACAATTGTGATTTCTGTGTGTAGTTCACTGTCTTCGTCATCCTCCTCATCTTTGTCGACCTCATCAGTAACAGACCGGAGAATCTCGTCTTCACTCATCGCACCATATCCTGGGTCATTGGCATCTTTTTCAAGCCAATCACCCACACCCTGTCTTTCTAAGTTTTTGCAGGCATTTCTGAACATTCCATGGATTTCATCTGTAAATCCTTAAAAAACCATTTCTTCTTCCTCCTCATGAAGATGTGAGACCGTAGACTTGAGGAGTTTTTTCCAGGAATTTTTCAAAGTCGATTCCTTTACGTCACTCCACACCTTGGCCCAGTTATAGATGGTTTCCTTGATTGTATAGTTCTTCAAATTCTCTAGGGTTTTTAGCTCTGTTATCCACACAGAGTTCAACATCTTCCGGACGAAGCAAAACCGCCAAAACTTCGTTGAGCATCTTTTTGCTGTACAACCTCTTCGTGGCACAGATAACTCCCTGATCCATAGGATGGATGAGAGAGGTTGTATTAGGAGGAAGTGCCATACACGTTATCTTGCCATCATGTGAGGTTAACAATTTCGCTCAATAACGACTCAGCATTGCATCGTTTTTCTGGGGGGGAGCCCCGTCGGCTCCTCAGAGCTATACAGGCTGATATGCTGATGTCAGACTTTGGCATCAGTCATGTGTATGGAGTTCTGTGGGCCTACCGGGGACCACGAGCCAGAACCTGGCCCCCTCAGAGAGGCATAGGGAGCAATGGCCAATAGAAACCCCCGTGTGGTTGGAAACATTCTTATGTATGCCATTGACCGGGTCAGGCACCCAGAAAGGTAAGCATTTCAAAACAAACCCCTATTTTATTCAAATGGCCAAAAATCCGACAAAAAACTGTAAATCCTTGTGAAGAATTCAGGAGGGATAGTCACTGGGCGCGATTGCCATGCCGTCATAGATTTAAACTAGCTAAACACAGATGCCGAAGAAATGTAAGAAAATTCACTTTTGCAAACAGAGTGGTAGATGATTGGAACAAGTTAGGTGAGAAGGTGGTGGAGGCCAAGACCGTCAGTAGTTTCAAAGCGTTATATGACAAAGAGTGCTGGGAAGACGGAACACCACGAGCGTAGCTCTCATCCTGTAACTACACTTAGGTAATTATCACGTGCTAGGTTGGCCCGTACGCGTATCAACAAACTCGTAACCCGATGCAGATTTTCCGAACAAATCGGGCTCATAACCCGAAAAACTCGTAAACAGGGACTCTCGTAACCCGAAGTTCCACTGTACAGTATATGAATACAATGTCCAAAGCCACAGCATGCCATACCCCGCAGCCAAGCTGAAAGCAGGCCAAATTGTTTAATTTTTGACGCATTACAGCGTCATTCCCGCAAATACGTCTAATAAATTTTTTACGCAATACTGCATCATTACCGAGCGAAAGAGTTGATTCAAAGTTTTTATTTTATAATTTTAATTTCAAACTTCACAACATTTACATCATATTCACTTTTCTACCACTTAGAAAAAATCATTCCTGCTACCATGATGTTAATAATGTACAGTATTAGTCTTGTTACAGTATTCATGTTTGTAGCAGACCCCTTGCTTCATTTCAGATGTTTGACTGTATCTCTAAAGATCTACCAACCAGTAATGCTAAATACATTACTGAACTTATAGGACATAGTTTTTTCACTTTTATTTGTATTTTATTTATTTACAGTACTTTCAATTAGCTATGTACAGAATTATTTTGAACTGCTCAGTTGCTTTAAAAAACTATGAATAACTAGCTAATAGTGTGAATGTATTCCATTTCATTTTGGAAGGAAATTTCTTTGGGGAAAAATTTAGCATGGTCTTGGGCTGTATATAAGTGTACAGGTGTGTACTCTTGATCTGTTTTGAATAATGAAATCTTTTGTAATATTTTTGCAGGATGATGATAGAGTTTTTGACAAAGGCGAGATGAATATTTACCATGAAGATATCCTGGTAGGCAGACTTGCTGCAAGATCCTTATCTAATGCATTGGCATCCTGGTCAAGCACCATCCCTCCGGTGTTCCTCAAACATCCTATTGTGCCATTTCTTTGCTCAGTGTCACAAACATACAAAGAAAATAGCTCCGTAAAGATGCAACCAGAAAATCAAGAAGATGCAGTTCTTTCCATAGCTGGTTTGCTTTGCCTGCTGGAACAGGATATCGGTCATATATTTCAGGAAATTTCAGCACTTACAGATACTTCTGTGTATTGTGTTAAAAATATTGATGTGTGGCTTGTGAGATTAGGCTGCCGTTCAGCTCTCTGGAGAGCCATAACTCGACATAATTACACTAAGTCAGAGGTAATAACTGCAGTGGTGACAGCATTGCAAAATAGTATTATTACAAGTAAATTTCTCCTTGAAATTTTGGATGAATTGTCATAGAAAAATATAGAAAAAGTGTTTTTTATTTTTCTAATTCCTTGTGATAGGCAGGCAGGTGTATATAACATTACTGCTGTACATAATCATTATATTTTTTAATTATGAATACGAATCTGTAAGATAATTTTTTAGTTGATGTACCATCAATTTTATCATCTTTCATCATAATCACCTAATTTTCCACTTTCATTCAGCTAGCAAACATGTATCAAAAGAGAAGACGGAAGATTAAGGATACTGTATTTGTAAAAGAGCAAAAAAACAGCTTTGAATGTAATGAAACGCCATTTTCTGGATGAGCCTCATCAGTTTCTTGAAGTTATGCGAACTGATACTGTATATGCTATATTAGTTTGGGGTCATCAGTCACAGGAGTCCTTATGCCTATCGGGGACCACGAGCCAGAACCTGGCCCCCTCAGAGAGGTGCAAGGAGCAATGGCCTATGAGCACTTTTACATTTAAAGTATGTCATAATTGCCATCGACCGGGGAAGGACCCCAGAAAGGTAGGTGAATCAAAACAGACCACTGTCTGGTTAACCTTTGCAATCCACATCCTAAAATATCAAAATAACTCCCCTAGAAAGAAACCCAACAAGCAACACTTCATGTAAGTAGCATTCCATCTTGTTACTGCTACCTCCCCCCAATAGTGGGGAGGTGAAGCAGCCCAACCCTCTAGTTCTTGACCAATGTGTTGCTTGTTTGATTTCTTTCTAGAGAAGTTATTTTGATCTTTTAGGTAGTAGATTGCACAGATTAACCTGACAGTGGTCTGTTTTGATTTGCCTATCTTTCTGGGTCCTTCCCCGGTTGATGTCAGTTATGACATACTTTAAATGTAAAGTGCTCGTAGGCTATTGCTCCTTGCGCCTCTCTGAGGGGGCCAGGTTCTGGCTCGTGATCCCCGATAGACATAAGGACTCATGTGACTGATGACCCCAAACTAATTTAGCACATATCAGTTTAAATAACTTCAGGGAGCCGACGTGGCTCCCCACACAAAATGCCCATACAATATATGATTTACACTAAACAGCATCACAGAGAGCCAGCACTATTACACTCCAGCAAATCATACATAGTAGTGCTCCACTGTTTCACAAGACGGTGTAGTGTCCTGCTTGTGAGTGACCACATGCAAAATGTCATGTTCACTTTCTCTCTGACGAAACTTTTGCTGGCCTTGTATCCTTCTCATAAACTCACTCACCATGTCTGCCTCTCATTTTGGCTTCCTCTCCTCTTCACACACTCTAAAACTCAGGAATATACATTCTACCACTTCATATGTATCAAGTTATTCACAATGACTAGTTTATACTTTTACATATGTCCATAATGTGCAGATATTAAAAGTTCACTATTTTGTAACTGGTACTGCTCATTATGAGAACTCAAGATTTCTATTCCTGCATATTTTTGTTAATTTTGTAAACTGGCATTATCGATGTACACAGTAAAAAAAAATAAAAAAAAATAGAGCAAATTATGTTTTTCAATACTGTATATTAAAAGTAGTGTGTTAGCATAAGAAATTTACTTTTCTCTATCCTGTAAAATGTACTTCCGCCTCTGGAAGATGTTGGAGTAGATAACAGCTGATCAATGGAATTATCACTGCCTCTTTTCCTCTTGGATTTTTGAGAAAGATTACTGTCGTCACTTGACTGACTTGATGCTTTATTTTCTGAAGTGCTTACTTAATTCTTTATTTTCTTGTTTTCCTCATTTTGCAATACCTAACCTGACTGCCTGTCTAAACTTTCAGCATGACAGCCTTATGTTGCCTATGCTCTGTGGGCTGATTTCACAAAGTGATTAATTAATTTTAACCTATGATATGATGGGACAACTTTTCCACCAGTCTCTGAATTCTGTCCCCTCTATGCAAAGCAAATCTTCATGTTCCCCGTTTCAACTAACCAGAGTTCGTCAAATCGGGTGAGTAAATCCAGTAAATAAATAAAAAGTGTGCGTCTTAAACGGAGATTCACTGAATCAGGGGTCCACTGTATGCCTTTGTTGTACTGTTTTAGATTCAGCTGTTTTTCTTTAATTTCCACTATATTTTAAAGCCTATCTACACTACAATTTTTACTGCCTCATGGGTGCTGCCTTGACGTGGTGAGATGCTCTTGTGTGTGACCCTCTTGTAGGTGAAGGTGACTTTTGCTCCGAACTTCTGCCTATTGTAACAGTGCACAGGCAAAATACCCAGTGGTTTCACCCTTCGTGTGCTAGCCATGCATGGAGACCTGTACATGCCCCATTTTCCCCTTATCTGAATATTTAGCTTGCACTACTGCAACAGCCCCTGGTCAGCAACACACTTCTTTGGTGGAGGAATAGGGATAAAATGGGAGGTTCAGTGAGGTCTTAACTGAATCAATCGGCCTATCTGACTGGCAGGAATGGTCCCTGGACCACATTTTTCTAAAACGTTATAGGCACAGTACAGTACAGTATGTTAAAATTCAGTACAGTATACTTTGTACTGCTCATTTATTTAAACTAAAAAATAGTATTCTTGCATATTTTTTATTAAATTTATATGCTGACATTATATGTGTACAAGCAGTGAAAAATTAGCGAATCATGTTTTGCAATGCAATTTAATAATAAATGGAAATACTCTACAGTATTTTTTCTTTTATTGTGAACTGTTAATATAATAGATGTATGGTAAATTTAGTAATATTGATGGAATTAATACTGTAATTTAATAATATTAGTTTCAGCAGATTTTTCAGTTAAATGTTTTAGAGATTATTACATTTTTTTATTTAATCCTTAGAGGGTACAGTCCTCTCACCATTTGATTGACAGTTGAGAGGCGGGACCAAATAGCCAAAGCTCATTCCCCGCAAGCACAACTAGGTGAGTCCTCCTGACTATGGGTCACCACTTTAGTATTAACAATTCTTAAAATATTTGGAAAACAAATTTAGTTTCTTCTTTGCACCAAAATTCTTTTATTTTATGATTTTTATATACAGTATACAGTAATAACAAGGTTTATAATTGTATTAGGAAAAACCAGATTTGCCAAATCTTGGCAGTTATAGTGATTTCTAAGCAAAACCTAATTTCCTTAAGTTTCTTTAGTGAAAAAAGTCATACAATGTAAGCCACATTCACACCAAATGACCCAAAACACAACACAGTGTGTCATATGATAATGACAATACTGTACTGTATTATAAAAAATAGACAATCAGCCTACAGTGGTTACTTAGTACAGTACAGGTATTCGTATATTTTATAATGCCACTAATTAGGTGTAGTATTTTTGGCAGGATGTAAGCTGTTTTCTAAGAGTTAACAATTACAAAAGTTGTAGATACCCACGCAAATACATTGGTTCATTTTATTATTTCGTTTATCTGATTAGGTTTTAAGGATGTTTTGGAGAAAAAATCAAACAGTGTAATTAGACTCCATTTTCATGTAGGCACCAGTGGCTTCCTGAGCTTAACTCGGGCACCACAAGGCCCAGCACAACAGGCCTCTTGAGACCCTTCTGTAGTTTACCGGAAGCCTGGAACAGTAGCTCACTTGACAAGGGTGGCTAGAGCAGATCACCCATTAAACTAGGGAAAATCTATTGTTACGTAAAGTATGGTGACAAATAAACACAGACACTAAGATACTATATATATATTTGGTCGAATATACAGAAGTACACAGGTGATACTTTGGTGTGAGTTGAGCGCACTGAGCGTCGGTACAGTATCTCGCAAGTGTCTGCTCTAGACCTCACTTGAAAGTAGACTAGCTAATGTTTGCTATTCTGCTGCTTATATGCTCGGGCAACACCTCACCTCATTCATCTCCAAAGGTTGACAGGAATATTAACAATGCATTTGGAGCGAGTATATTATTGGGATAATCTACTCGCTACAGAACTCCCCCTCCCAGGGGATGAAAGGAAAAATACTTGATCAAGGAACTTAGCTGGTCGGTGAATTGTACGCCCTGCTCGCGTTACATAACCATCAAAGTTAACTTCCTCCTCTTCGCTGATGTCATCTAACTGGGGTCGTAGGGTGGGAGGTCGCACAGGATCGTCCGTCGTCGTAGGATCAGGTTGTGGTGCGGCTGGTAACTGGGGTTGTAGGGTGAGAGGTCGTACAGGATCGTCCGTTGTCGTAGGTGGCGGTGCTGCTGGTAACTGTGGTCGAAAAGTGAACTGCGTAGTCGGATGATGTGTCTCTGGATTTAGCAGTGTCGCAGACGTTGAGACGAAACCTGGAGCAGAGCAGAGAGCTGAGTGAGGCCGGAGTCGTGGAGCTCTATGTGGGAGAGCGTGGCGGCTCGATTGAAAATTGTGAGTGTCTGAACTCGGGGAGCGAGAGCGTGGCGGCTCGATGCGGTCGTAGTCTGCTGTCTGCTCTGTGTCGAAGCTGTAGCGTCTTGGGTTGATTAGGACTGTACACGCCGAGTACTACATTGTTGACTGTGGAAATTGTAGTCTGGTACCAAAAGATGTAGGCAGTGTGTGGACAAGCTCGGTGTAGCAGGAGAGAAGAATGTGCATAATTGTTGCGTCCTTGGGTCGCTGGTGGAGCATTTAGATCCGGGGGTGGATGGGCTCGGGCACCAGGACATTAGGAGGTAATGTAGGCAAGTAGTTAGGTCAACGAGGTAATCACATCTAGAGCTGAATTGTCCTGAAGGCGACGAAGTGTCGGAAACGCAAGCTGTAAGTCCTGTACTGCGCAAAGGGCTTGAGTCGGCCGAGTATCAAAATGCAGTGAACGTGTAGATGAATCTGATGACAGAGCAGCTGTCGTGGGCGTAGGACAAGCAGTGTCCTGGCAGCGACGGAGAGTCGGCAGGACAAGCTGTAGATCCAACATGATGTAATCATTGATGAGGCTGTCAGATGAGTGAGTAAAGATCGTGGAGCAGCAAGCCGTAGTAGATGAAAATGCAGAGATGGACGCGATGAAAATCATAGCTGTGGCGAGGGTGTTGGCAGTGTTCCATCACAGCAAACAGTAGCAGTAGAGGTCCAGTGAGAGTCCATGTTGTAGTCAATCGTGGCTGGGTATCGTCGAAACTCTCTGGGGTCACCAATGTAACTGTTCTATTGTTACGTAAAGTATGGTGACAAACACAGACACTAAGATACTATATATATATTTGGTCGAATATACAGAAGTACACAGGTGATACTTTGGTGTGAGTTGAGCGCACTGAGCGTCAGTACAGTATCTCGCAAGTGTCTGCTCTAGACCACACTTGAAAGTAGACTAGTTAATGTTTGCTATTCTGCTGCTTATATGCTCGGGCAACACCTCACCGTGTTGCCCGGGCATATAAGCAGCAGAATAGCAAACATTAACTAGTCTACTTTCAAGTGTGGTCTAGAACAGACACTTGCGAGATACCTCACCGTGTTGCCCGGGCAACGCCTCACCTCATTCATCTCCAAAGGTTGACACGAATATTAACAATGCATTTGGAGCGAGTATATTATTGGGATAATCTACTCGCTACACCTGGAAACTCCTACCCGTCGAAGCCGAAAATGCGAAAACACTTAATTTCGACATCCAGCTTAATAAAAATCAACAGGATAAATCGAAGGGACCCTTTACAAGCCGCCGGCTTCCTGTCCTTCTCCAGGCCACTAGTGAGATGGCGGATCCTAGGTAAATTTAGGTAAAATAAAATGAAATACTTTATATATACAAGAGTGTTTTTGCGACACAGGCTGTGATTGGGTGAAGCCGCGACGTGTGGACCAATGAGGAAGCGCGAGACAGGCGGTAGAGGCGCCGTGGAGCAGTGTAAACAAGGCGGGAATAAACATGGGAGAGAATTTCCCAGGTCCGGGTCACACGGCTCTATATTCCACTACTTCCCGTCTTACTATTAACTCTAGCAACTGTAACAACACTTGCAACTGTTGTTATAACGTGTGTGAATGTTAGAGAAGTTGTGACATCTGAGGTGAGTGTCTGGGAGCGGTGCCGCGGTGAGTGTCATCACTTCACAATGTCAACATGACCAATGTGTCTTCTTTACTGATAAAATACATCTATAATACCTGACAGTTACATCTATATAAATTGTTGCATATTGTACTTCTTTACAACTCTTTACACCTTCTGTAAAACAAGGAAAAATCAGGTTTAGAGATGATTTTTTTTCAGAAATTTGTCGATTTTTTTTAGTCTAAATTTTGTCTAAAGGCTCCCAGTAGTACAGTTGACTTCGTTTCCGATTCGCAATCGAAAATTCCAGGTTCGAATCACAGGTGAGATAAATGGTTGGGTGTGTTTCCTATCACCTTTGCATCTGTTCACCTAGTAGTAAATAGATACCCAGTTAGTCAGTTTGTTGTGGGGGTTGCATCCTGGGGAGGGTCAGTAACCCTGGGGGTGGGGGGGTTGAACCTTGATATAAGCCTAACATGTACTGTATATATAAACTGGCTGCTGGTCCCCTGACATAGTGAACTATTATTATTATTATTATAAATTTCACTGTTAACTTTGGGGAAAATGTAAGGTGGAAAAACATGTGATTGGTCTGATGGTCGTGGTGCCGGGCTTGCTCTTGGAAAGACCACAGTATACGACAAGGCACAGCGAGCATCTTATAGGAGAGAATCGACAGGATAATAATTATAACTTCGCCAAGTATGTTCATAAAAATAATTACGGGAACATTTAAAATGCTTGTTCTGTAATTGTCAATAAAATATTTTGTCTTGTAATGTGAAGTTTGTAGTGGAATAAATAATATTACAATAGTAATGTTTTTTGTCAACATTAACTGTATAAAGTACATGAATTAAATTACAAAATAATTAAGGTCTTGTACTGATGAGTACATCAGTGTTGTTATTTATTGTTAGGTTTTGTTCACTTGTGAATACTGTTGCATAAAGAAATGCTTTGTGAAAAGCCATATTTTTATTTATATAGTCTTGATATTCAAATTCAAAATTCAAATTTTTATTAAGGTAAAAGTACATACATAGATGATGAGTTACAGACATAATGTTGGATTTATAGATAGAGCTAGTACATATAATACCTAAAGCCACTAATACGCATAGCATTTTGGGCAGTTATTGAATTGATAGTCCATGTACAGTAACTGAATTTACCTGAGGGCCCACCATCTCTAGTGGCCTTGATGGAGATAGGAAGTCTATGGCTTGTCAAAGATAATCCTCGATTATTCCTGAAGATTTTTTCAGCTGAATTTTAAGCTGAAGTACAGTACAGTACAGTGCAGTACTGTAATATATTGCCATTTACAGCTTTTGCAGGTAGGTGATTCTTTGGATGTATTACCAAGCACCTCACTGTTTTCTGCTGTACGTTATGGCTTGTTGTGTTTGAAGCTGTTGCCCCTTGTAAGCACCATATTTGACATTTTGAAGATGTGGTTCAGATTCAAAATGATGTATTACCAGGAATCTTAACCAAATAGCCAAAGTTTGCTTAATGTAGGTAGTGCATGCATGTACTGTAACTGTGAACTCTATACAGCTGATGCTTGTTGGATTGGTATGGGAAGCAGGATTAGTAGAGATAACCAGGTGCTTTACGAACCCCTCGGGGCTGAGACTCGTCAGTTAACCTGTTGTGTTCCTATAAGTGGCCTTAAAATCTAGGGAAAAAATTGACAAGTTCATAGTATTAATTCAACAGAACAGTATTTTGTTTGTACTCGCCAACACGAGAAGTCCCGATCCACTTTCTGTTTTGATTATTATTGTTGATGGAGCATTGTTATTTACATGGAAGAGGTGGTGATGAATGTTGATGGTGCTGGGTTGATTGAAGTGGAGATTAATTGTGATAAGGTAACCTCAGATGTTGAAGCATTTGGGTCAACATGAGACGAATCAGGTACTCGCCTAGTTGTGCTTGTGGGGGTTGAGCTTTGTCTCTGGTCCCGCCTCTCAACTGTCGATCAATTGGTGTACAGATTTCCGAGTCTACTGGGCTCTATCATGTACCCACATTTGAAACTTTGTATGGAGTCAGCCTCCACCACACCACTTCCTAGTGCATTCCACTTGTTCACTTCTCTGATACTGAAAAAATTCTTTCTAATATCTCTGTGGCTCATCTGGGTACTAAGTTTCCACTTGTGCCGCCTTGTTCGTGTTCCACCCATGCGGAAGACTTTGTCTTTGTCCACCCTGTCAATTCCCTTGAGAATTTTGTAGGTGGTTATCTTGTCTTCCCTTACTCTGCTGTTTTCCAAGGACGTAAGGTTCAGCTCCTTCAGCCTTTCCTCGTAGCTCATACCTCTCGTAGCTCATACCTCTCGGTTCTGGGACAAGTCTGGAGGCATACCGCTGAATCTTCTCTAACTTTGTCTTGTGTTTAACTAGGTATGAACTCCAGGCTGGAGCTGTATATTCCAGGATTGGTCTGACATAAGTTGTATACAGGGTCCTGAATGATTCCTTACCCAAGTTTGTAAAGGCAGTTCTTATGTTGGCCAACCTAGCATATGCTGCTGCTGATATATCCTTTTTGATGTGGGCCTCTGGGGACAGGTTTGGTGTGATATCAACCCCCAGATCTTTCTCCCTATTTGACTCTTGCAGGATTTCACCTCCCAGATGGTACCTTGTGTTCAGCCTTCTGCTCCCTTTGCCTAATTTCATTACTTTACACTTTCCTGAGTTGAACTTTAGTAGACATTTTCTAGACCAGTCCTACGGACAGATGAAGATAGACAGAGACTGTAGGATGACCTGGACCATTTGTCCAGGTCATCCTGTAGTCTCTGTCTGTGTTCATCTGTCTTAATTCTTCTCATAATTTTTGCATCATCAGCAAACATTGAGAGGAGTGAGTCTATATCCTCTGGAAGATTGTATACATATATTAGAAACAGGATGGGTCCAAGTACAGAGCCCTGTGGGACTCCGCTGGTGACATCTCACCACTCTGATGTCTCCACCTCTCACAGTTACTCGCTGTTTCCTGTTGCTTAGATACTCCCTTATCCATTGGAGTACCTTACTTTTTACTCCTGCCTGTTGCCCCAACTTTTATAACATCCTTTTATGGGATACTGTGTCAAAGGCTTTCTGACAATCCAAGAAAATGCAGTCTGCCCACTCTTCTCTTTCTTGCCTAATTTTTATTGCTTTGTCATAGAATTCGATTAAACCTGTGAGGCACGATTTACTATCTCTGAACCCATGCTGATGGTGTGTTACAAAGCTATTTCCCTCCAGATGCTCTACGAGCCTTTTCCTCATGATCTTCTCCATCACCTTACATGGTATACATGTTAGGGAAACTGGCCTATAGTTTAGTGCCTCTTGTCTGTCATCCTTTTTGTATATTGGGACTACATTAGCTCTCATCCAACTTTTTGGTAGGTCTCCTGTTTCCAGTGACCTGTTATACACCATAGAGAGTGACACACTTAGTGCTTCTGCACCTTCCTTTAGTTTCCATGGTGAGATTCTGTCAGGCCCATCTGCCTTTGTCACTTTCAGCTCCAACAGATTCCCTTTGACCTCATCACTGGTGAGGTCAAATTCAGGTGAGGCAAATTCTAGGTGCAGGTGAGGCAATGCGAGCTTTCTTGGAAGCCTTTGCAAAAGACTTTGATATTTGTTTCCTTCCCTTTGCTCTTGTTTTCAAAAACTAAATATACAAATTGTATAGGTTCATCATGTCCCGAGTTTCAAACTCACTGTTAGTCGTTAAGATAAATGCCAGAATGACTTCAAAATATTACTAAAATATTGCTCCTCAGGATTCTGTTTGTACTGCTGCCACACTGCATTATCAACAGTTGCCACTTTTGCTTTACTTACTACCTTTCTATTTCATATTATCTTATCACTTTCATCACTTCTTGAGAAATAGTAAAAATGATAAATTTACCCTTAAGAAAATAAAAAAAAAGTACTTTTTGTACTGCCATATTCAGCGCACAAGGCACTTCTCGGGACTCGGCTCTCCACTTTTTAATTATTTCAACTTTCTTCTCAAATGTCATCAATGACCTCTTTTTATGTATCTTGCTTGTTAGAGCTTTCACTGACACAGTGGATGCATTGAGAGCTGACATGGTGCACGGATGTTCCTAGATTGCGACGATACATATCAAACAAAGTCACAGAAGGAACACTTTAGTCTTGTGGCAAATCAAAACTGCAGGAACAATGGGCTGCGAGTCTGTGATGTCAGAGGGTAGAAGGCACTAGATTGGTGCCCGACATGGTCAGTGTGCAAACTAGGGCCATCTCCCTCCGAACCACCCACCACTACCCTGGGCCACGAGGACTGGTAGATGCTTGCCTGATGAGATATCCGAACTATTTTATGCAAACCTTGTGCTTCCCGAACTCGAGGATTCGATCCAACCCAAATCGGGAAACTGGCATTTTTGGATAGACGGTGTTCACAAAGCACGTGGATGTTTATAACTGTAACTGGCCCATCACATACGTAAATTGTTCTGTACAGAGATTTGTGGGCCACTTTTGAACATTTGTGTTATAAAAGACTATTGACATTAAACTGTGTAACTAATATCAAAGATTGTTACTTGCTTAGTTAAATGAATTCTGAGGTTCAGCTCCTGAGCCCATTATGTGCCTCTGTAACCTTGTTCCACTACTGCCCATGGGATGGGTATATACAGTAGTGCATAATAAATGAACAATCAAATTTGTTCACTATTTTAAAGGTCTTGGCAAGAACAGCCCTGTCATGTGTGGTTGTATTTAGCCTTGAGGTCTGTCATTTATTCCTGTTATGACAGTTGATTGGTTCTGGGATAACTTTTTGTTAATTTTTCTCAAATAAATATAAAGTATCCATCTCTCTCTCTCTCCCTCCTTCAAATCTTTCTCTCCCCATTCAAGTCTTTCTTCCCAACATCGTTATCCTTCTTTCTCCTGTTAATGATGATGTAAGACGTGTGCTTTCCATTCTGTGTAAAATATATTTTAATACATATCACATTTGACTGGGCTACAGATACACATAAGCCAAGAGGATGGATGATACACAAGTCCTTGAGTGCACACAGGCTCTTGCTGATGACTGGGATAATGAAGAAGGTGACCCAAAGGAGCAGAGTCTGGTAAGGAGTTCTTTATATTATGAATGATTTGCTGTCTGTTACGTTGTATATTTTCTTGTATAGAGCATAAATGTGAATGCCCCCTGGCCCTGAAATTTGTTGAATGTTTTCTTTGCATTATTTTATTTCAGCAAAATTCTTAATATATATAAAGTGGTATATACAGTATTCTTACATCCATAGGTTGCTTGGCTGGAAGTTGGTGGGAGTCGTCATGATATTCATCTGGGGGAAACAAAAATTGGTCGGGATTCGGCAACATGCAGAATTGTGCTGGATAATAAGGTGAGAAAGTGTGATTTTGCAGTGGAAAAAGTAAGGATATTGTTTAGAATAATATCTCTGGGACTAATACTGATAATTTTAACAATTATGACATTTATCTTCATGCTGAGGCTTAGTAAGTCTTTTTCTCCTAGGTTCTTTCCAAGCAGCATGCTGTCATTGAAGTGGACAGAGACATGCACACCATAGCAGATCTTGGTAGCATGAACAAGACGAGAATTGGTAAGGTGAGTTTAAACTATTTTTCAGTTACAATATTCTACTCAGATGTTCATTAAGACTAGATACATCCTGATACCAAAGGAGTTATTAGGAGTCGTTAGAGTTGGGGAAGGGGGACAATGCAAAAGGAATCATGTTTAAATGTTTGTCGAGTCATACTGGTGATAGGGAGGCTCTGGAGAAAGGCTCAGTCCTGCCCAGAGTTGCCACAGGAACTTTGCTTGAACACTTGCATAAACTTCCAGTTTGCCAACTTGGCTGATGACCTCCAACTGCCATAATTATATGTATTACTTGTCCATGCACATGAGAGCATTACAAGTCTCTTTTATGTCTAGACTTGATTAACCAATGAATCAGAGTTGCATTCTCTTGTGTTATATTATTGTTTGTCTAATATTATCTTAGTATTTTGCTGTGCCTGTGTGCCGTTAAGACAAAACTTTCTTCATTAATTTAAGGTTTCAGTTTAATAAGGGAATAATGGCTGCCCTTAAGCACACCATTTCATCATGGAAAGTCAAAATACTGGAAATTTAAACATTTATGTAATATCTGCGAGTAAGCTTAATGGGGACTGGAAACAAGTTCTTGCTGTAAACTGTTGCATGTCTGTACTTCTAAAACATTTAGTGTATTGTATCCCTAGTGCAGTAATTTAATTACTATTAACACTTAAAAATATATAAATGTAATAAATTCTGTTAACAATGTTTCCTAGATGATCCTGAAGCCTAATGTACGGTTTGCCCTGCAAGGTGGAGAGAGTTTAAGATTTGGTGATGTAGAAGCGAAGTACATCATTATACCAAAGGTAAGACATGTGAAACAAGTACAGCTTGGTAAAGTCTTACTGTCTTGTCACTTTAACCCTTAGTCCACACAATACATACATATATAATTTGACAAAAAATAATTTAAGATAAATTTTTAAAACTTAAACAAACGCTTTCCATTTTTTTTTTTTTTTTTTTTTTTTTTTTTTTTTTTTTTTTTTTTTTTGCATAATCAACTAGGCAAATGCTCCAACTTTGTCCAAATGATCACAGCGTAACTTGAAAAACCAGAGAATCAAAATTAATTTTAAAATTGAATATTGAAAACTTCAGATTTTCAAATCAGAATAAAAAATATGAACTATCATTAATTGTTCATTTAATGTTCGTATAATTGTTCATTCATTTATTCTCTCAGAATAGTATATGATCTTCATTTTCATTAAATTAGGTGGGCCGACATGGTGCACAGATATTTCTTGATTATGCAGATATATAAAACAAAAGCACAGAATGAACATTCCAGCCTTATGACAATTCAAAATAATAGCAATAATAGGCCATGAATCTGTGAAGTCACAGTGGGCAAACTGGACCATATCCCACCCACCACCACAGGCCGGCGTGGCGCTTGGCGGACCCCTTCCTTCAGATAGCATGACTCCCAAACCCCAATCGGGAAACTGGAAGTTTCGGATAACTAAAGTTCGGAAACCAAGTGGTGCTCTGTACTGTAAAAAAAATCATCACTAGGACTTTTGAAATATTCGGCAAATTTAGACCAAAAAAAATTATAACCCCAAATATATAAAGTTTGTGAAAAATCCATTCTGATGGGATTGTAGAACAGACAGCAGAGCACACAATATGTCAAAAGAGTGAGAATTGGTTAATGACGAATTTTAGAAGCTACTCAAAGTTGAAACTCTGGTTTCAGAGATAATTGAAGTTGAAGTTATCAACAATGAATAAAGGTAGTTTTAATTCATTAATTTAATTGTATGTTTTAATAAATATTGTTTGGCATTCATACTCGAATATGTGAAAGTTGTAGGACAATATGTGTTGAAGTGAAGTCAAGAAGGCAGTCTCCGTGGCAGTTTTAGGCAGTCTCCGTGGTGTAGTGGTAAGACACTCGCCTGGCGTTCCGCGAGCGCTATGTCATGGGTTCGTATCCTGGCCGGGGAGGATTTACTGGGCGCAATTCCTTAACTGTAGCCTCTGTTTAACGCAACAGTAAAATGTGTACTTGGATGAAAAAGCGATTCTTCGCGGCAGGGGATCGTATTCCAGGGACCATAGGATTAAGGACTTGCCCAAAACGCTACGCGTACTAGTGGCTGTACAAAAATGTAACAACTCTTGTATATATCTCAAAAAAAAATAACCTCAAAAAAACACAAAATATAGGGATAATTATAATAAATATAATGATTTAAGGGATATATTTAGGGTATCCTTTATATAAGTGAAAAAGCCCTAATATGGTCCCTAATCATCAAAACAACCTAAAGAGACAAAGAAAATAGAGTTTGAAATCAGAGAAAAAATCAGCCAACAAAAGTTAAGGTCCCAAGTTTTGCTAGTTGTGACTGACTTATTTGTTGACCAATTTCATTCTAGCTTCACATAGTTATGAAATCATATGCATTCTCCAGGATGTAAAGGTTTAAACAAAATCAAATAAATAAAGAAGAAAAAAATAACTAAAATCTTAAAAAAAAAATTCCCCTAAAAAAAATATTTTTGGGACATTGATGTAACACAGTAACCGAAAAGTAACATATATTAACATTGGACAGTGTATTTATATGATATATAACAAAATAGATCATATTAACAGTTATTCATTATGTTTTGTGTTGTTATGTATTACTCAGCAATGATATAAAGGCACCAACTGCATATCCACTTTGTGGACACTTCTTACTATTATTTGTCTTCTTTGAGCATAGGATAGGTGGTTGCATTTCTTTATTACTGAATAATCCTTCAGTTACATTTTTTAGGAGCTGTTCTTATTTTTCAAAAATTCGTCTAAAATAAATTTTCTGAAAATATTTTTATGAGAGTTTCATGACACTGAAGCCAATAAGATGGAGATTTATTTAACATTTTTAAGTTATTTTTACATGATTTGAATATTTTTCGATGTTATGCTCCCTAAATTATCGGTAATATGTGCGGTCTAAGGGTTAATCATAATTGTAATACAGTATTGTAATAATAATACAGTGAAACTACATTAACATGATGTATCAATGTGAAAATTAGTATGAGCCATGAGGAAGATTCAAACCAGTTCACTTGATACTCAGAAGCTGGTGCCCTAGAGCCATTTATGGCCCTAGTTGGCCATTTATGCCCCTTATGTGTAGTGGAAGCGTATTGAACAGTTTCGGGTCTCTGATATTGATAGAATTCTCTCTCAGAGTACCTATTGCACCTCTGCTTTTTAATGGGGGGTATTCTGCACATCCTGTACTGCCTTCTGGTCTCATGTGGTGTTATTTCTGTGTGCAGGTTTGGGACCAGCCCTTTACTATTTTCCACTTGTAAATTATTATGTATCTCTCCTGCCTGCGATCAAGAGAATAGCGATCCCGCTACCCCGCCCCACGGGGTAGCGGGATCGAGTGTCCCCCGAGCACTTCATCACTCAGTGCCCATAATTTGCTCAACTTCTCAGCTCCATCACAACTAAAGTATGTCGCCTACAATATTTTTTGTTAGTTTCTCGTGATCAGAGACTGCATTTTAACAATATGAGAAGGGAAAATAATTTTTTCAAATCAAATCAAATCAAATGTTTATTCAGGTAAAGTGCATACATACAAGGTGAGATACAAACATTGATGAATTTATAGATAGAGCTGGTACATACAATGCCTAAAGCCACTATTACGCAAAGCGTTTCGGGCAATTCTTCTGTGAAGAATTTATTTTCGGCACACTATGGGAAAGTCATATTTTAAGGCCGCGCAGCATGGTGGTTAATGGTACTAAATGCAAGGCTTTGAGTTTCATGTTCCAAAATCATCTTTGGTAGCAGTGTGCTTGAATACTGTATAGTCTAGTATGTCACTTTATTTAGTGTGTACTGTATGAACTCGCTTATTTGAAGCCCGCTGATCCCAATATTTGGGTAATTCAGGTATTTTCGCAGCGAAGTAATTTTCTTGGAAAACTTTGCCATATTTGAATAGCAATTCAGATACAGAGCACCACTTGGTTTCCGAACTTGAGTTATCCAAAAGTTCTAGTTTCCCGATTGGGGTTGGGGAGTCATGCTACGCGAACTATGTTCGGGTAGGAAGCGGTCCGTCAAGGTGGGTGGATGGGAGATGGTCCAGTTTGCCCACTGACAGTGTTGGGCACCACCATTCTAGAGTGCCTTCTACCCTGTAACTTTACAGATTCACGGCCAATTGTTCCTGTTATTTTGATTTGTCATGAGGCTGGAGTGTTCATTCTGTGACTGTTTTACATATCTGCACAATCAAGGAACATCTGTGCACCATCACTATATTGGCTCCAAATGCTCACATTGCATCAGTGATGGCTGACTGACTGGTGGGTGGATGGATGGGGAAGCTTAGGTGGAAGGCAGTATGTGAGAGAGGGGGAGAATTAGTGAGAGAGGGAGGGAGGCAGTTAGGGAGGGAGGAAGAGATGCTAGGAGGTAGGCAGGAAGGGAGGGAAGTAGTGAGGGAGGATGGGAAAATTAGGGAGAGAGAGATCGGCATGGAGGGAGGGAGGGAGGCAGGCTGGCTGGCAGGCAGGCAGGCAGAGAGAGAGGCTGCCTGCCTGCCTGCCTGCCTGCCTGCCTGCCTGCCTGCCTGCCTGCCTGCCTGCCTGCCTGCCTGCCTGCCTGCCTGCCTGCCTGCCAGCCAGCCAGCCGGCCAGCCAGCCGGCCAGCTGGCCATGGATGGATGTTGAGTTGAACTATGTGAACTTTAACCACTGTGATGTGCCAAGTTTATTGTGAAATTTCCCCTGTGCGCATGAAATCAAGTGTTCCCAAAAAATTCACCGACAGCTCGCGATCTTTCAACACCGTGTCCGACAGGTGTTTGGGAGCCAGAGGTGCGTGAGCCACCCATGGTTGTTTACTCAGTACTAACCCAGCCAGCAGCCCTAAGGCATTCTGGGATTTTTTTCCAAGATGGATGCCTCTCACTGGAGGTCTTATGAGTCCATTTCGTACACAGCCAACCGCATACACATTTTGAATGGGTACGAAAAAATCATTTCTCAGTTGGTGCAGTTTCCCACCGACCGAGTTTTCTCGGTTGGTGCAGTCCAGTGGTTAAGAGAGAGTGTATGGGATGATAGGGTGTCGGTGGTGGGGAAGGAGCCGGGCTCACTCCGATAACCCTAGCACACTCGACTGCGTTAGTCAGATTTGTATCTTAAATTCTGGATGGAATAGAAAAATTCTGGAATAGAACCCTAAGGAAGGAAAAAATTGCAAAAATTTTAACTTGGACTTCCCCGATAAAAATTCTGCTCATCAGCATGTCTAGTTTATCCAGCAGGGTGTCCTTTCTATATAATTCGGATAAGTGATCTTATACAGTAATTAATTTTATTTCAGTCATAAATACTGTACAACAAAGAACCTAAATGTCAAGAAATTTCAGTGACCTGATACAAAGGATAAGAGGCACTTTGTGCTCTGTTCAAACAACTGTAATAAACCATTAAATTATTGCAAAATTAAAATACGGTATATGTTTTTTCATTCACCTGCATGTGTGTCAATACTGTCTGTTAATTATGGCCTTATATATATTGGTGTATATGAACTTGCTTTCTGATAAAGGCTTAACATTTTTATGTACTTACCAGCAGTTGCAAAATGATGACAGTGGATCAGAGACAGAGTCAGAATCAATGTTTTCATTGGACGATTCTGGAGAGAAACCTGCCTCACCAGTACTCGGTCATCACCTGCCAGGTATGCTGTTGGTTTATGAAATTATTTCCAAAATATTGCATTCATTTGCCTACTCAGTAGTACAGTGGCTATATTCTCTACATTTTCCCAGTGGCTCCCTGAAGCTATCTCACTGAAATTGCTCCATTCTAATGGGTCACATCAGTTGCTGGAATTGTTTGGCCACTGGTTCTGCCTCAGTTGGTGTGTTGTTGGTTGGTACCATTTTTTTCCAAGGCTCGCATTTACAAGGTCATCTGCAGTGTCATTAAGTCTAGCCAGCCTGTTGTCTACCCTCGAGTTTACGATATTTGCAAGTACAGTGGTCTACCCTCGAGTTTACGATATTTGTCTCAGAAGGCGAGGGTTACTTCGGGAGGCGAGTTTGGACGCGAGTTTGTTGATACGCGTACAGCCGACCTAGCGCGTTCGTCGCCCCTCCGCCCCTCAGTTTATTATTGTCTCGCGCTCAGTGACTACCCCCACATCAATTCTTCTCGCGGATTTTCAGTGTTTTGTTGGATTTTTGGTGATTTGTCTATACAATTTGTTATTATATATCTCACCATGGGTCCCAAGAAAGCCAGTGGTAAGGATAAAGGCCAGAAAGCTCTTGGCATTGGTCTTCTCCAACATGTCCTGGATTGATATTCAGGCTTTAAGGTTTTGGCAGACTAAGTGTGTTCTGGTGGACTAGTATTTGGTTAACATTCCTGGTCCTAGTTGTTTGTATGTTGCTTTGGGCCGTGTCTACCAGCCTGGATTCTCTTCATCTAATCTACAAGAAGATTAGTGACCCTAGAGTGCGAGCTGCCGCTGGAGTCCTGACGGTCATCAGGTCTAATCCACTGCAGAGTGGTGAGGTCGAGCTCTTTATGGACTGACTCTTTGCCTTGCATCTGTTGCGTTATATTTATATTATTCCGGCTTAGTGCCTTCTTTTGATAATTACTTCTTTTCATCTTAATACCTGATGCCTCTCCTCTTCCATGGTAAGTCCCATGTTTTCATTCTCATTAGTTGGTTAGCTTCAGGAAGCCACTAGGGTCTCTCCCAGAAAACAGGCATTGAATATAGTGAAATGCCTTTTCTGGTAGATCCATGATGGCTACTTGATTCCCTCCCTATCCTTGAGGTTCATTGGTGGGTTGTTCATCAGCTTCAGAAGTGCTCAGGGAAGCTGGCTGTGGGCTGGGGCTAGGCCACCTAAGGGTGACTATCGTTGCTAATGGATTCAGTTTAGTTTCAAGCGAATCTATTGTTTTGTTTGCATTGTTGTGGAGTTGTTTGGCAGTTTTGTGGCTTTGTTTTCTGTGAATCCTCGAGTTGTGTGTAAAGCTGTGCTAGTTTTCTGGATATTTTTCTTAGTAGGGTGGTGGATTATCACTTGCTTCTTGTACATCTGTGAGAGTGCCAGGTTCTAGTTCCTGTCCCCAGTAGGCCAAACAAAACTACTGTGGCTGATGTGACCTATTAGAATGGAGCAATCCTTGAACGATAGCTTCAGGAAGCAACCAGGGCTCTGCCAGAAAAAAGGCATTTCATTACATTTAATGCTGGGTTTTACTTGTAGGGCTTGATGTTACCAAACGGGACTGTACCATAGAAGGTGACGAGGGAACAACTTCAGATCTTTCAGGTGAGTTTTCTGTAGGGAGCCCCGTTGGCTCCCTGAAGCTATCCAAACTGACATGTGCCATATTAGTTTCGTGTCATCAGACACGGGAGTTCTGTATGCCTACCAGAGACCAGAGACAGAACTTGGTCCACTCACAGGGAGTGGACCAGTTTCATCGCAGGGAGCAATGGCCATCATGAGCATTCTACTTTCAGAGTATTTCATGCCTGCCATCGACCAGGGAGGGCACCGAGAAAGATAGGGGAAACAATACAAACCCCAACTGGTAAAAGTTGCAACCTACATCTGAACAGAGCCAAAGAACTCCCCCCCCCCCCCCCCCCCCACACGCAAAAAAAAAAAAAAAAAAAAAAAACTTCTCCCTTGAAAGAGGAAAGGGGCAGCCCGCTCAGGCGGCACACCATCCCAATTCTTGATTGATGTGCCTGGTGTCCAGATGTCACCTCTGGCTTCGCTTTCCTGCCTGGATTTTGCCTTTGTGGCTGTGCCAGCTCTGTGTAGTGGTGTGTTCACCAGGTGTTCTCAGTACGCTGGGCTGCATGCACCTAGGACTACCTTCCCTAGGTGCCCGTTAAGTACTTCCCTTGCATTTCAGGGTTATCTTCCCTTAGACGTTCGGGTTTCACTCCCATTTGAGGGCTTCATTGCTTGGCATTGATTTCGGCCTTGGGGTATGTCGGGGGTCTTGGGCTTCCCGTTCTACCCTTCAGGTTCGTTTCCAGGTGCCTTTGGGAGCTTGACAGGTTTTGTCGGACACACATGCTTGAGTTGCGAGAGGTGTCTTCGATGTTGCCGGTATACTTAGGGGGCTCACTGGAGTTCCTCAATGAGTGCCTCTTTGCCCCTGCACTTTCTCATGATGTGGGTCTGGTGCAATTACATGCTCAGGTTTCCACTCGTGCAGTTGCTTTGGCTGCTGATGATCATCGAGCTCACAGTCATTTAGCCTTGGTCTTGTGTTTCCTCGGTCTTTGGAGCTGTGTTTGTGTAACGACCGCTTCCCTCTGTCGTAATAACCGCGGCCTCTATTGTAATAACCCAATGTTCCCCAGTATTAATCCTGTTATCTTGTGATCTCTCATAATCGTACTATACGCTCTCTATTGTAATTCTCCGTCTTTCTTCACTCAATACCCCAGCTTAACACTGTTACAGTCCAGCATGACCCCTCACTGGACTGCCACGTATGTAAGAGGAATATTAAATGAGGAAGATACACCAAGGACAAGGGTTATTAGTTAAAAAAAACAATAACAAAACACATTTACACTGCCACCACCTTCCTGACCAACCATACCTGAATGTGTCAATCACCGATCCCCCAGGAAGGCAAGGAATCAGTAACCATGGGACTCCGGGTAATATGAACTTCAGTAATAAATTTTGGAAAATTAGTTTGTGTAATTTACGTTACTTATTTGAATCCAAGGGCAACTTTAGTATCTATTAATAGTAGGAGAACATGGGGGCTTCCAATACAACACCTAAAAATGACAAAGTAGCAAAATATATCAAAGGGGAGTTAAGTGAATACCACTGGACAAGCTATACAATTTATTTTATGAAACATGTAAATTAAGACAATTTGAACACATAACCTATTCTATTTCCCTAGAGGCACAATGGATATTTACCGAGGACACAAAACTCAAGTGCACTATACCTTAAATACCCGCACTACGGCCACGATGTTGATGGCTGCCCTCAGCCCCGAGGATACGGGCTTGCGGCCCTGTTCCTAATACACTCCCAAGACACACTAATGAAATTTAGTTTTTCCAACTTATTGCTGGGAAGGATTACTCCTCCCACCATCTAATACAGCCCCAGGGCTCCACCCATTATTTTGGCAATGACCAACCATGTAACACGTAGGCCTGAGGTCTGGCTCTCTAGGGCCAATAAGGACTTGGCCCTTATCTCAGGCCAATCACCTTCACTGATCTGTCGTGGAAAGCTACATGAATTCCTGAAGATTGAGTCAGCTCTCCCCAGCTAAAGAGAAGGGGGACAAGGCGCGTCTATGGAGCCCAGGCACCTGCGAGCAATGTTTACAAAACTGATAATTTATGTTCAAGCCTGTCTCCTCTAAGATAGGAGTAGGGACATTTGACTCTGCCTGGTATGGGGAAGAGGCCGGTGAGAGGGGATCATCTGAGTGGGGAATTGAGTGGGAGAAGCCAAGGTATCCACGACCACCCTACCCTCAGGTCAACCTCTTGACCCTGACAAATGGGCGGCAGGGGGGGGGGGAGAGGAGGCGACGAATGACGGCCAAGGGGAGGGGAGAAGGAAGGAGGGGAGAGGGAGAAGGAAAGGAGGGGAGAAGGGGAGGGGAGAAGGGAGAACCAATGATCTGAGCCCCAGATCATTACAACTCCCCCTCCTCGGAAATTAAGAAATTTGTGTGTAAAGCAAGTTACACACACTTTTCTTATCCAGAAATCCTGCCCTACCCTAACCATTAACTCCAAAAACAACATTTTTAACCCAACACTATTTAACCAATGCCTCCAAACAAAAGAAATTATCTAATCCTAACTAATTCCATCCAATACTCCAACAACAATAACGGCACACCCAAAAGGTGTGCCCCAGCATGTATTTATACCTATCAACACAACAGTAATAATACATTAACCATAAGGACAGAGACCGTCCCTATAATCCTGGCTGTCCACTTGGATGCAGCCCCGTACCCTTCCAACTACCTGGAAGACAAAATATCCTATACCTGTCTTGATATAGTAACAAATAACTGGAGAAATCCCAACCTAACAATTACTAACTAGCTAAAATCAGCTGATAGCCTTCAGCTATCCCAGTATTCCACCCGGAATAAAGATCAAACACATCACACAAAACATTAAATAAAAAAAAAAATCAATGTCATTAAAAAAATTTACAAAATTATAAAAGTATATCAACATGGAAGAACACTACCTCTCAGGGACCTAGTGTTCCACTCCACACCTGTGGCAACTGTCCACCACAGCGCATCCCAATCTTAAAATCTAAAGAAAAGACACAGAAATATTTTTATTAATAAAAAAAATTCAATGTCCCCAGACATGTCCCTTAACCAACAACAACACTCTGGATATAAGTTCCTCAAACTCCTAATATCCCAGAGTTCATATTCAAGTCCACAACAACAGCGGGTGAACACATTTGTCAGACTGTGTACCACATCCTTAATGTTCAATAAACCACAAAAAAAAATTAAAAAAAAATATATGTATAACTATCAGTATCTAGGATCTAGAAAAATCTAGATAAAGTTTCCCACTGATCAACGTTTCTAGAGATCCTACTAGATGGTTCTCAAACCAGTTCACTCATACAACTTATCTAGAGACAGGGTCATTTTCTAATGTTCCCTTTCTAGATTTATTTCTCTATTTCACTAGTTCTAGTTTTCAACATTTAATACTGTTCCAGAGAACTTTCCGAAGGTGTATAGGTGCTTACTATCAGATGGAAAATTAAAAGTTGAACTGTTCCGAGTTACCACAGTTTACTATATTAATAGTGTTTATTTGTATATGAAACTTTTCTATAAATATTTTCTCTCGTTCGTTCCTGTTGACATTTCGTTGTTGTAGATTCCGGCGACTACCTCATGTTGCTTGAAGATCCTGGTCGTCTGGAAGTTCCATTTCCGGCCTCGGCCAACTACGGACAGTACAGGGGGCCTCGTACTACCCGCACCTGACTTGAGTGACAGCTGTCAGCTCAGGTGGACCCCGCTAACAGGAACCCGGGTTCACCTCTGCTTATCGCTCCCCAAACAGTCTTGATGGATTCCTGTTAACCATGGCTGCCACAGTAGAGCACAGCTTCGACGTATCACGATGTCTCGCGTTGGTAGTGAGGTTCGAGTGGCGTTGAAGAGGGTGGCATGGTGACAGGACAGGTGGGCCCTGCCTCAGCTCCTGGGCGACGTCATCTACCGGCGTTTACTTGTTATCCCGGTACTACTGGGCCGGTACACCTTTCGTGCAACCCCTCGTGTAGCTGAACTTGGGCCGAGGTACAGGATTGTACCTCATCTGGCGATTCCGCAAGCACTCTGTAGGGGTAGTGCTGTTCGTACCTGAGACCACCGCGTTGCATCTTGGTTTCCACAGACGACGCAACCACAGGTTTTGATAAGAGCTGACAAGTCGTTGCAATTAGCGTTCTTCTTCGTAGACCACTCGTCTTCCACTTCCGGTTTTCCCGCAGTCTTGACTACGCGGCTGGTGGGCTTGGTTGGTGACCTTGAGACAGCTTGCCCACGGCTGTGACGGTGACTGGGCTCTGCTCCGTGAAGACAGCATGGCTGGACTGGGACAACCTCGTTAGTGACGTGAGGTGTCGGCCGGGTGACTGTACGCCAGTCACCCCTTCCGGATAACCAATTGACGAGTTACCGGGTACAAAGGGGGGAGGACTTTATGTAACGTGCCTCAGACCCCGATCTTATCAGCCAGGTGGGTCATCCCCAGACCTGCTGATCTCGATCCTTGGTTCACGTGTGACTGGGAGGCTGGAACTGGTGTACCATCAGACCTGAGAAAGACAGACAACAACAAATGGCGGAAGCATGGATATTACTCTGAGGTATAGGTAGTTGGAAACCCCAGAGCAAGGCAAGTATGCTACCTGAGCCATGCACATCAGTAAATACACACCAGTGCCTCTACAGGATAATTATTATGAAATTACTAAACCTGACTAGGGGAGATCATTAACAATTTACTGTACAGCTCGCGACCTCGTTACCATAGGGTGACAAGATTGAACTTGACTACTGATGAGATCTGACAGAAGGTCATCCTCATCATCTGACTCAGCACTTGGATCATTAGACAGGTCAGGAATTAGACTTGCTGAAGGCAGCTCTAGTTCCTCCCTCGCGTGATAAGGTTTTAATTTATTAATGTGAATCGTTCTCTCAACTTGGTCTTCAAAAATACCTTTAATAACAAAATTAACCGGACCTTTTCTTTCAATTA